CTCACAAGACATGGAATTAGAGGAGTGGTTAGAATGGCTCCATGAAAAGTATAGAACACCAGAGCCTCAGCAGATGAGGATGGATGAAGCCCCCACTGCTGTCAACAGATGTGTCTCGGAAGACATGGAATTCAAGGAGTGGGTCGATTGGACGGCTGCACAGACTGAACCACCAGGCCCTCAGCAGATGAACAGCTCTGTCACAGAAGAGGAGGACATAGACAAGTGGATTGATTGGATGGCTGAACAGTATGACTCCACTGTTGCAGAAGCTCATGAGCGTCCCAGWGACTTAAATGTCCTGCCAGGTATTTGTCCACCTCCACACAACTTCCAGGCCTCATCACCAGGTAACAGTGTTCAGACAAAGCTCATTTTTACCCCCTGTTTTTTTATGTCTCTTCTCACAGAAAAACAGAATGGCAAACTCCAAACAGACATTGCAAACAATTCCAAAACAATGTCCTTGGTTTCTCCTGGATCTCTGCTGTCCTTGGACAAAAGGTCGCCTGAAGGATGCACCTCGAAGAAGCGCAAGACGATTTCGGACTCGATGGAGGACTCACCTGAGAGAGAAACGCAGGYCAWKCTCGAAGTTAAGGAGGATTCAAATAATGAGTCGGTTGAACCTCTGACCAAAAGAAGCAGGAGGGATGAAGAGAGAGAGAAATCCAATCCTTCAATAAAAAAATGTTGTACGTTGTTGAGGAATGTGGACACYACACATTCTCCAAAACCAATTTCAGACCTGAAGGCAAATGTGAAAGAGCAAATGGCAGAAAAAATTATCTTAAGGCCAAGACTGGCTAAAAGGATTTCTTTTCCTGCTGCAAAAGACAGGAAGAGGCCTTACGACTCAATGGAGGACTCGTCCAAGAGAGAAACGCAGGACAAACAACAACAACAACAACAGATGGACATAAACAAAGGGAAGAAGGGAAAAAAGAGGTTGAAGAAGATCGATGATTAATGCACCAACTCCATCAGTCTCAAAAATAAAAGTATAACCAGTTCAGAGATGTGTTTGTGTGTCAAAAACCAAAAACAGCAAAACACTTAGAACAATTCAGTTTAATTCATTATTAAATATAAAGATATTTCACAAGATAAACTTTGATTTACTGGATAGTTTTTGATGCAAAATCAGTCATCCACTTAAAAAAGTGGAAAGTATAAATTAAACATGTTATGGTTTCAAGTGACAAAAATAATAAGAGTTCTTTTAATAACATTTGGAACAATAAGATTTCAAAAGACAAAAGAGATTTCTTTAAAGTTCAGCTTTACATCAGTTTAAAAGACTTAGAGGTTATCAAAAACCAGAGTTTATCTCCGATATTCAGCAGGAAACTGAAAATATGAAGAATTGTAAACAGAGTTTGGTGGATTTGTTAAAYCTGCAGCTCCTCTGGTTCAGGAAGCAGAGGATCATGGGTAATATCCAGGGTTCAGCCCAACAAAATAGAGGGTAAAAGTRAAACTCWSTATATATATTGGARAACCTACAACTRGGCTTGACTCAGCGGAAGTAGTGGGACAGAAGAGGATGATGACGAAGTTGTCTTCTCTGATGGACAATCAGTCCCATTCCCTGCAGGACACCGTCACAGCACTGGGCAGCTCCTTCAGTCTGATTCACCCAAATGTGTGAAGGAGAGGTATCGCAGGTCGTTCCTTCCTGCAGCAGTAAGACTATAAAACTAGCTCTYCTCCTGGTAAAAARGACATTTACCACAYTTATTATGGACTGCACTRTAACACTTAAAGTCTCAYCTGTGCAATATTCACTGTGTTATATTCATGTMTGTGCAATATCAACAGTTCATGTGCAATCCATTCACTGTAAATATTCTCACACTGCATATATGTCTTCCTATCTTTACACTGTAGTTTAATTACATTCATGTTTTTCTATATTCCTTACACTTATTGCATGTTACTTATTACTTTTGACTTTCTGCTGTAATACTGCAAATGTCCCATATGTGGGACTTCCTAAGGACTTATCTAATCTTATAGGTGTTCATGACGGCAAAGGCCACAAAGAGAGGACATGTGCACTGCCTGTTTGCCAAGAGGGGACTCTATACACCCCCTCAGGTTTTTCAAATACACAGGTCAAGAATAACTGACCTGTTGCAGCACTGAGAATAAAAATGTTTCTCACAAAATATGTCTTCACCTCAACATCTAGATACAGGAAACAGAAAAGGAAGTAGATGATGCAACCCTGACACGGTTAACCTTCTTCAATCTGCATTTCAAATGTGCCCATTTCCTGCTTTTGTGCTACTATTTAGGCGACGATTGGTAAAAAAAGAAATAGACAGACAACGTTTGCAAGTCCAAACATTTTGTATTTTATGCCAGTGTTGTTGCTTGTGAACCAAGGGACAGAAGTCCCACAGATCTGTTATCTTCCACAAACACACTTAACATGACATGTAAACCTGCCTCACTGAAACTGTGCAAGATCACAGTGTACAAATGTAAATATCAGGCTGGCTCTGACAGGAATACTACATCCAGCAGGTTCTAGGTGCTGCTGCCAGACAAAAAACCAGGTAAGAAATACTGTGCACTTATGGTTTTACATTTTCACTTTGCATTCCGCACGTTCCCGTGTTTCTTTTTCCCTGATTTCCATTGATTATTTCTAAATTTCTTCTGAAAATCTCCACCCTGGACCTGAAAGACAAAAATAAGAGAGTATTCTGTCAGTGCTGCCWGTTTGAGAAAGTAAATCACACACACAAATGCACGTTACACAGTCTACACACAGACCTTRTTGCGTTTCTGCACCTCCTGCTTGTCCACCTCCATTCCCTCGTCTTCATCTGTTTGGAAGTCGTCTCCCTCCTCATTCCCGTCACCCTCCATGTCTTCTTCTGCCGGGTTTTTTAAGGTGAATATAGATGCTGCGGGGAAATATGATACAGTGTCACAGAAAAGTAAAACAGCAACAAGTCCACTTTAAACGTGCATACACCATTTTCTGCAACCAAGAACAACTACATATCAAATTCAACAATATACTGCAGCTGATTATTATCAATTTTTCTAGATGGTGTGTGTTAGAATTGTCTACAGTGTGTGCCCGTGGGATACTGACTAGGATAGAGGTCACTCATGCTGTCCTCGGAGTCACTGTGATCCTCGTCACTGGACGACGGATCCCACGTGCCGCGCCCTTGTTTTGAGGCCCTCCCCCGACCGACATCTTCTCCTCCGTTGTCTCTGGGCTTCTTCTGTTTGAGTCTGGCTGGAACGAATTCTATCCCCTGCTGTACACACTCTTCATCTGGAGCAAGAGTGAGACGAGTCATGTCAGAAACCATTTCTACAGAATAAATAATGCAGAAAAGACAAGGATTTATGGTTTTATGTCAAAAAATATTTGTATCTTCTTAATTC